GATACTAGAGTTTGTAACAATGTTAAGTAAATCTTGTGAAACTAAGAAGTAATCTAACCGACTTTGTTTAATTGGGTTTTTCCTTCGCCATGAGTACATTTTTTTCTCAGGATTTTGGATTCTCCAAACATCAAATAATTCAAATTCTTCCATACTTTTATCAATAAGTTCTCTGGCTAGTCTATGACTCTCATGCATAATATTATGTGTATCTTTTTCCATATCCTGTACCAAATTCCAGTCACCTCCCATTATTATTTTAGTATTTGAAATCAGTCTGATTCTTCTATATATATTTTATTTGTACATTTATTTTGTTTTTAATTTGCAAACTTTATTATCCATATAGCTATTTTTTATATAAAAACAATCAGCACTCACATATTCTTAAAATAACCTGCACATCGATCGTTTTCATACATAATCAGCAAAAAGCATGTTTAACGCACATTCAACGCTAAAGTTAAAACGCACAACAAACGGTCAACCCAACCCAAACGCAACGCAAACGGAACGCAAACGCAACGCAAACGAAACAGAAACTCAACGCAAACGCAACGCAAACGGAACGCAAACGCGACGGAAACGCAACGCACTGGTCTCAATCAATCCAAAATATGGAAGTGCATTTCCATCAGCACATTATACGTTCTGCACACAAGTCAATGACTTCATAGGTAAATGGGTTAGTTTAGAGTCATAGTAGGACTTACTTACAGTTGATACTGTTGATCTAGTGTCCAACAACGATAAAGCTTCATGTCCCTCAATCCTGATCTTAATTTCATTTGCTGAGCCAACTAAACCAGTGCTGTAAGTATCTGATTCCAAACTAGGGTTCTGTCCTCTGAAACCTATGGGTATCCCCTCCCCATAGGTCCTTGTCCGTTTAAAGGCTGTCTGTGTGTCTGGACGCTGTAACTTGGTCTTCTTACATGGTCCAGTCTAACTTTGCAACATATACGCATGTGTCCCAGCTGTACACATCTCCAACACTGAGGTTCTTCATAATCCCCTGATGCCTGTGTCTGATGACGACTGGGTGTAGAATCCTTAACTTGAGGTTTCCATTGGTTCTGTTGCTGGTGCGTCTGCTGCTTAGATTGTCCAGACTTTATAGCCTTTTACCACAGATATAAGTTGACAAATGCAACCTTCTACCTTCTAACTTCTCAAACTTCTCATCATAAGACAGACCATCTTTGCCGTAGCTGTCTTAGTCGACTTGTCCTCCATTTTCAAAGACATCTCAGATTCCAGTTTCCTGAGTTCATCCTTACAATCTTCATATCCTGTAATCATAGCATACTTGCTGGCTGACCTTTCCTTCAAAGGAGTCCTAGTCCATGCCCTATCCTATTGTGAAGCATCTGATTCATCTTGCTTCTCAGTATTTGATCAGATCGGGTGGCCTTGGTAAGTTAATCCTCCAACCTACATCCCCAACTGGACACAATCTCACCTTCTAACTGCTGGGCATTGTCCAATTTTCCCATTAAGGCTTCCTGGTTTTCTACAACTCCATACTTACTCTCCAGTTGTGTCATCAACTCTGAGACAGTTGCAGTCGCATAGCTACTATTCCAGCATTCCCTCTTAGTGATCGTCTCACAGCCTGTGCAACAACTTCACTGCTTACTGAAGTGTCTTCTCTCAAACACTACACTTCATATCTCCATAAATCATGTGGTAACTCAATTTTGACGGATGGATCTCCACTGAATGTTGGTAGTCTTAGAGGATGTGATGCTCCTTACTTTTTGCAGGCTTCATCTCAGGTTTTTCTTTCTTGATAGATGAAGGCATGTTTCGTGTGTGCGTCATGTAGTACACCATCCACTTCTTGAAATCCTCAGGTGTGTCGCGCTTGGGAGTTACATCCATTTCTTGAAACACTTTGACCATCTGACTTACCCGATCTTTATTCATGATGAATGGTATATGGCAAGCAATAATAACACAAATAATACACAGGAAATTGCAAAGAAAACATTAAATGAGGTAACACAGGAAGTTACATCGCATGAAAATTCAAAATAACCAAATGTTGAAATCAATTCAACTCCTAAAAATAGAGGTAACCTATAGAATGTATGTATACATGTAGATTAGTGGGATACAGGTGTTCATCTGCGATATCATAGCAAATATAAGCTGCAGTACAAGACAATTATATCACAAATTGCATAAAACATTTAACACTGAACACATAATCCTTTCACAATAAATATTCATAAACCATACACAACCAAAAGAAGTAGCAATGCCTCTCAAGTAACAGATTAAGTTCACTGGGTAAAAGGAGAAAAAATTGATAAAAAACTTTCCGATCGGTTTGGAGTACAGGCAATAGTTTCGTGGTCCTAACACCGACCTTTGAGGAACCACGAAATCCAGTACTTTGTCATGTTAGGTGGCAGATCCGATGGCAACACATTGTCGTCGTTCACTTAGATAAGACTGTATCCAGCATAGTGCAGTATCAGTCACTCCATAAGAGTATTCCAGACGTTTATAAAGTATACCATGGTCGATGACGTCAAATGCACCTGAAACAAACAGCATGACAAGCACAGCTCTGCACTTGTTATCCAATGCAGAAGCGATGTCATTTTGTACACGTAGGAGGGCCGTCTCATTAGAGTGTGTGTATACATCATCATGGCTGGAAGAGAGATGTCTCACACTTAGGCTTTTCTTAAACAGAACAGCCACCCCACCACCACGTTTGCCAAGTCTAGCATTGTGGAGGAATCCATAGCATGTCGGTATTAGCTCAGCTAGTACCTTTTCATCGATATCTTAACCTAACCAGGTGTTTGTCAATGAAAGAAGGTCAATGTCCTGAATTGTTTGATGAAAATCTCCGATGGACAATGACCTATTCTTCACCGAGCGACAGTTTAAGGACACTAACTTCAGAGGAATGTTGGCTTGATGACATGTAGATACTCGTACGATACTGATGTTGTCGGAATCCGTGTGGAAGTATCGTAACGAGAATGCACAATAGTATTGATGCCTGATACTATAAGTGCAGTGCCCTGCAAGAAAGTGTGCGAGGCGGACAGACCATTTGTAGTGACCAAATGGATGAGATTATCAGTATTCAGGCCCGAGTGGGAACAACCATTGGTTCCGTTTGATTGAAAACCGATAACACTTATTCGCCTAACAGCACCTTTTCCCGCCCGTGTCCCACGTCTTGTGCGCAAGTTTTTTTTTCCGAATTTGATTCCTGAAAATCCTCCAAAAGATGAGTAGTAATATCATGACTCACTGGTCTAAGTGCCAGGCGAAAAGATCTATTACACTTAAACATATATGAATGTGATATCAACCTCCGCTGATGGAATAAAAAATCACAGTTTGGAAATTCACGGTGCTACAGGGGGTTCCCGCATTAGTCGCCTGTTCTGTGACGTGTACCGAGATGATATATATTTGAAATGATCCTACAACTTCTAGTATTTACAACATAAGCGAAACAACAACAAACAAAAACAGTTGTGCAACAGTACAAAATGTCTAGAACGTATCTACCGAATTTCTGATTCTGATTCCGATTCTGGAAGGGGCCTCACATGGACTTTTCATTAAGGTATCATTTTGGTCAAATGGCATCAGAAAGTAAAGTAAGATTTTAGAGTACTACTATTTTGAACTGTTATCAAGAATCATTAATTCAAAAAATAATACTGATATTGATCTTAAGTACAATTAATTATCTACAGTTAAATCTGAAGAAAAAGTAAATGGGAGATAACAAATATGTGACGATCAATATAGACTAGTTTCTAATGTACAATCCATGTCATTAAGAACATTTTATATACACTACGCCTTCATAATAATTTCAAATTATTCATTACATCACTACATTCAATATCACTGGACATATGCCACACCTTTGTGCCTTATTCTTTGATAATTCTGGGGTTTTACAAGAATTATCAAACTCAAAACATAACAACATTCGTTTCGAGTTAGCGTCTACCCTGTAAGATAACATGTTTATCAAAAATGTGTCGCAAACGACTGGTACCCTGCTTCAACTCTTTGCATGGGTTCTTAATCACAGAGTAAATTTTCAGGGTACAGATTATGTTGACTTAACGTTAAAACAAATTATCCTTTTGTTTGTGTACACGGATTGTAAGGGGCCACTTTTTCAACAGAATTCCGTATACTATGTCTTGTAAAGTGAAAGCTTTGTGAAGGGAAAACGTCTAGTTTTAAGTCGGGCGTTACATCTTATTATGAACATTACATTAAAAATAGCATGAAGTAGATTTTTATAGAATTTATGGTTATTCATCCTCGATTTTTTGTTCTGTCGCATCATATTGGAATACAGATTTTTGGTTGTTAACTCTGTGGAATATTTTTTCAAGTTTATGATTTTTAGCATGCTGTATATATACTGGTAAGCTCGTCGTACGTTCACTTTTCAGATACATGATGATAGACTCTTTTCATGGATTCTGTCGTCCCCGAGGTTTGCGTTATCTTGAAGCCACATTAATCTGTTTCGATACATGTTACCGTTCAAATATGCAAAACTGTACTCCTTATTTTTTTCAAATTCATTTAATCACTTGGTTTTACATACCTTCCCTTCTGTCTCAATAGTATTTCAGACCGATTCGGATATCCCTAGCATCACCGCCAATCCTCGATGGCAGAAACAGATGTATGGTGCACTTAAATCCGTTTTAGCATTCTTTTTCTATTGCGAAATGTTGAGGAACAATCGCATGTGTATGTCTTATGTAAATCTAATATACCAGTCTACCAGTAACATTAGAAAATATTGCAGATCTATGAATTTGGTTGGTGTGGCAAGTTAAACAAGTACCACCATCGTTTAATCTCTCGATTAGAGCCCAACTAAGAGAAAAAGAAACCAACTTGTTTTGATAATGATTTAGGGTTTATCGAGGGTGTACAGCCGTTAAAACATCCGTCTTTCCCTAGGATTAAACAGTGCTGATACGTACCTCCGCCGTTCCTGTAGGTGAGGTAAGGTAGACGCCATACGTCTGGAAGACCAAACGAATATCCGAGCAAAGTTGCAAGAAACTCGAGGTTAGAAGTCCACTTAACAGGGACAGCACGCTCAACATCCATGCTCGTGTAGCGACAGTATATGTCTAACAACAACTTGAACACTCCGGAGCAGTGATGCAGGTCATTGTGTTGATCTATCTATAGATATATATGTTTCTACCACAATACGCTGTGTTATTCCACTCTCAGATCATTGTATATACACGCAGACTGTTAGATAAATATGAGTTATGACACCACACGTGGTATATGACCTGCAAGAGTTTTGATTGGTCGAGAAGATAAACTTTGCCCGGGACGACCTTTTCCACTTTTCGTCTGCTATCAACATTCGACATTCGACAANCAGCGATAAGTTCGTCACTTGTCGGGAGGCAGACTTCGTACGATATGCTTACGCGCATATAGTCCGTGGTTAATTTATATAAGTCAATGAAATACGGCTACTCTAAATATTTAAAGTCGTTCATCTATTATATTTTTTCATGAAGTTGTTGCCGAAACATTAATTTTGACAATTTTTGAATTTGTAAAAAAGAAGTTGTTTTTGAATATTAATGAGTGACTTTTTACATATAGGTCATATCACTACGCCAGCCTTGTCAACAAATACACGTGTGTATGTTATTTCCGACTGATCATGATATTGTGGTAGAAACAGATCACACGACTCGTGGAAAATATTTCGTTCTCCCTACGTCCCGTTATCGCTATTTGGACGGCCTGACTATGGCTGACTATGGCTGAACTTTCACTATAAACGTCAACCATAGAACCGTCAAGAAGAAACGTAGGCCTATGGTTTTGGACATTGACAGCGATAAGTTCGTCACTTGTCGGGAGGCAGACTTCGTACGATATGCTTACGCGCATATAGTCCGTGGTTAATTTATATAAGTCAATGAAATACGGCTACTCTAAATATTTAAAGTCGTTCATCTATTATATTTTTTCATGAAGTTGTTGCCGAAACATTAATTTTGACAATTTTTGAATTTGTAAAAAAGAAGTTGTTTTTGAATATTAATGAGTGACTTTTTACATATAGGTCATATCACTACGCCAGCCTTGTCAACAAATACACGTGTGTATGTTATTTCCGACTGATCATGATATTGTGGTAGAAACAGATCACACGACTCGTGGAAAATATTTCGTTCTCCCTACGTCCCGTTATCGCTATTTGGACGGCCTGACTATGGCTGACTATGGCTGAACTTTCACTATAAACGTCAACCATAGAACCGTCAAGAAGAAACGTAGGCCTATGGTTTTGGACATTGACAGCGATAAGTTCGTCACTTGTCGGGAGGCAGACTTCGTACGATATGCTTACGCGCATATAGTCCGTGGTTAATTTATATAAGTCAATGAAATACGGCTACTCTAAATATTTAAAGTCGTTCATCTATTATATTTTTTCATGAAGTTGTTGCCGAAACATTAATTTTGACAATTTTTGAATTTGTAAAAAAGAAGTTGTTTTTGAATATTAATGAGTGACTTTTTACATATAGGTCATATCACTACGCCAGCCTTGTCAACAAATACACGTGTGTATGTTATTTCCGACTGATCATGATATTGTGGTAGAAACAGATCACACGACTCGTGGAAAATATTTCGTTCTCCCTACGTCCCGTTATCGCTATTTGGACGGCCTGACTATGGCTGACTATGGCTGAACTTTCACTATAAACGTCAACCATAGAACCGTCAAGAAGAAACGTAGGCCTATGGTTTTGGACATTGACAGCGATAAGTTCGTCACTTGTCGGGAGGCAGACTTCGTACGATATGCTTACGCGCATATAGTCCGTGGTTAATTTATATAAGTCAATGAAATACGGCTACTCTAAATATTTAAAGTCGTTCATCTATTATATTTTTTCATGAAGTTGTTGCCGAAACATTAATTTTGACAATTTTTGAATTTGTAAAAAAGAAGTTGTTTTTGAATATTAATGAGTGACTTTTTACATATAGGTCACTACGCCAGCCTTGTCAACAAATACACGTGTGTATGTTATTTCCGACTGATCATGATATTGTGGTAGAAACAGATCACACGACTCGTGGTTGTTGAGTAGGTATTTATTTCACTCTCGTTAGTTAATTTTCAAAAGTTACAAAAAGACACTCGCTAAAGCTCGTGTCTTTCGTAACTTTTGAAAATTAACTAACTCGAGTGAAATAAGTACCATATTCAACAACCACTCCTCGTGTAACCTCTCTATATAAAACTGTTTAAAATACACCACTCAACTAATAGATTGATTTGTTAACTAATACACAGTCTGAAGTATCTCCTTAACGATATGAATGCGCTACAGAGTAATGACATGTTGTTGCGATTTGTATATATTATTTACAATAAGGATCAATTTACTACTGTTATAATAGATAGATGTATGTTTTCACATTTGCTCTACAAAGATTTAAAATGTGGACAAATATCAGAGTAACTGGATAAAATAGCCTAGTATGATTGTTGTGTATATAAAATCGAATAAGGGTAAAGTTAGCCAATGAAAAACTTCGCAAAAAACCCGCTAGAAAACTTCGGGAACAAAATAACTAGCCCCTTAACAAAAAACACAGACAATTTTGTCTACAAAATACGTCACTCCAAAAATCGTATACTTCTTAAATAAACGAATGCAGTCAAGAAACAGTAAGAGAGAGGATAAACATCTTCAGATTGAGTAAAAATTATTTTTAAACGTGGTGCATTGGTTTTAATGATAGATAATATCTGCAGTGGCTCTACATAAGTCGCCTTGAGGGGTCAAATTTTGGGCACAGACAGTTAGCCAGCGGTCCTTCATATAGGTAGAATTTGGCAACTTTAGAGATGAGTGTTAAGGTATTAGGATTGTGTCACCATTTCTCAGTAGAATTTCTTCAAATTTTGTAGTAATATTGCTTTGAAGTAAAGAAAATTTTCTGCCACAAAAAAAAATATTGGTTGTCAGAATTTTAAGGATTTTAAATGGAAATTTATGGAAAAAGAAGTGATTTTTTGCAAAATAATGTCAATAAACAGTTACTGCCATAGATTAGTATTGCATTAATGTATCTCAATTTAATAAATGCTGAAATTGTGTAAAATAAATTATCTATAAACGATTAAAGATTGACACTTTATATACACATAGTAATTGCATGGAAGAGTTATCTTTCTTGAAAATCTTCACGGTAGTGAAATAGGTAGCCGGTTTCCTGAAGTACAGAAAAATGCACACATGTGACTCATTGGTAAAAAAACAACTGAATTAATGTCTGGATTGCTTTGGAATACTTTAATATTGAAAGAACACACTGTTCTGTCAATAATAAACATACAATATTCATCAGTTTAATATTAAACATTAGAATATGCGGAAAATGTGATACTGTCTCTCTACATTGGATTTTCAACTAGGGATGTACTTCCTATTTCCGTTTATCAATACACTCCTATGACCTTAAGAGGATAAATAACAACACCCTAAGTGGAAGGACCGATCCACTGGGAGTGACCCCATCCGCGATTTGCTATTTCTGACGTTAACGAGATCTAGTTTTCGATTTTCTATATTTTCTATGCGAGGACGAAGCTGTAAGTTATACTTAGCATGTTTGAGCCCATGCATGATTCAAGCTGCCATTTGAGAATCGCTGTGCAAACATAATGCAACAATTGTTGTGGGATTTTAACACATTTTGGTCATATGACCACTATTATGTGACGTCATCGATCTGATGTCACACCACTGACTTTGCTGTTGATAGAACCTCACAACCTGACACAAGTTGAGTGAAATAACTACAAAAATGTGCGTTAGCATAAATACTCAAATAAAAAGAAAACTAAAGCGATTACTGTTTTTTAATGAATGGTAAATTGTACTGTAATTTCTAGCGCTGACAAACTAACATCAAACCCTAAATAACAAGATGTTCATGGTTTCAAATGAACTTTCGTTGCATTTCGTTGTTTTTGAAGCATTATTTTAGCAATTTCTCGTGTTTTGAATCTACAGTGGCTATACACACGGCGACTACGACCATACGTATTGAGTTTGATAGGCTGTAAAAGAAATGTGACATTGGAGGGCTACAAGGCAAACTGCATCAATAGTTTATATGAGTTATCTCGTAAAACGTCAATAACTATTAATGAACATTTCACTGGATTTGAAAGAACTAATTGTTTGGTGTAAATGAAAAATTTGTGACGATGTTCAAACTTGTAGTAACACGGAAAAGGAATGCATGCATATTGAAGTGAGCTTCAGACCACTCGCTCTCCCAAGCATTTTGGTTCGATCCCCAGCGGTGGTGGGAAAAAAGAGAATGATGTCGGATAGGGTTAGTTTTCTCCCTCCGATGGCACGGTGGTTTTCCCCCGTGGGTTTCCTCCACCACGAAAACACCATTTGTCCCCTTAGCGGCGTCATAATAAAAGCTCTACAGAGCTTATGTTTGTTGTTGACAATTGTACACGACGTTAAATAAAGATTATTATTATCATTACAAGCTAACCGGTAATAAGATTTATATGTATATTTTAAATGCCGCCGTGACTATTCTCCATACTTAGGTTTAATGAAGATTTAAAAGAAACTGTGGTTAGGTATACATGTAGCAAACACTAGTGAAAGCAAGTGGGTTTTTTTTTTATAAAAGCACTGGATAAGGTCTTGAGTGTAATCAGCCCAACAGAACTCAAAATATAACTAGTGCATTTTATAAACTGATTTTCTATTCATATAGTAACAGTGATAGAGACCTAACCCCCGGGCGATGGAAAGTTATCCCAAGCAGGCACTTTCTTTGAGGAAGCACTGTATAAATTCAAGAGCGTAATCAGCCCAAGAGAAATCAAGATATTGTGCATTAGTCATTAAACAGATTTTCTATTTATAATAACCCATTGACCTTTGACCACTGGACCTGAAAAGTTATCTCAAGCAGGCACTTTCTTCCAGGAAGGACTCGATAAAATCTAAGTGTAATCAGTCCAACAGAATTCGAAATACAGTGCACAAACTGATGTTCTATTTATAGTAAGTGACCTTGACATGTGGTATCAAAGGCTGAAAAGCTATACAAAAGCTTAAGCAAACCTTTTATTACACTGGATAAAGTCCATGTGTGCACACACTAAAGGTTCTACACTTAAAGTTGA